ATCAGGAAGTAGACGACTCTCGATTGGATATGGCCGTGAACGTTGTGCACGAAGAACGATTTCCCAGCGTTGAGCACCTAAAGTCATTTGTGTATCACTTTGAGGATAGACTGTATTCTCTAAAAGGTTAGCTAGGGACAAAGTAACAACGGATTACTACAGCTACAGTACCTTGATGAAAGAGAGATCCGAGTCATTCGATTCACACATTGGCTCGTATTGTGCCTTGTAGTTCTCGATCCGTTTCACGAAATCCTCTTTTGCTTGCTCGGCTGACATCAAACCTTTGTAATCGGGTGAGTTCACCTGATTTACATTAGAAATCAAGCTTTGTAGGCGATTTTACCTTAACATCGGTGATATTCGACTCGATAATCTTTTGATCGTCGCAAACACTTTCGAGAAAAAAGCAACGAAAGCTAAATTTTTAGTTTTTTAGTTTTAAGTTTTAGCGAAACTTTACAAACCCTTTCTTTTCGCAGAAATCCACAACAGTGGCTCGTCGCTTTCGAGTGGTGTTTGTAGCGTCGAGAATTGCAACATTTCCTCCACTGCTCTCCAAATAGGCTGCCATGTCTTCCATTGCTCTTCTAGCACACTCTCTAAATTGCTTTTTGAAAAACTTACTGCTTAAACTGAAGGAAATATGAACACTTCTAATATTTTTCCAAACTGACGCTCGAATCCTTTGCGCATCCTCGTTGTCGGGTGAGAAAAAGTTGGCACTTGCACCGTGGATTGCATCCGATGCACCAGCCTCCGTTCTGCGATACTCACCAACATTGAAAACTAGAAATTGTCTCATTCGCGAGTCTTTTCCAGTTTTGATCTGTTGGAAATACGTCTTTGACTACCTCTTGTTTTCACTCCAATCCATTTCAGATATCGACATAACTTCTTTGAGATATAGGTTTTCCCCCGGGCCGGCAATCCAACCATCACTATCACATTCGGGATTCGGACTTGATCTGTACTTTTTTGTTTGATTTTGCATAGTTTTTCGATTTTACCGATGTATCCCTGGTTTGAACAGTGAGCGACTTTTCTTTTTGATGACGGTTCTTCGGAAGTTCCATCTGTAATTGCCGAAATACCTTTACATAAAATGCTTATAGTTAGATCTGTTTTTGATACGCACTTTACATTCACATGATTTTTTAATCCGAACCTTGAGGTGAAGCGGCCACCTCTTCCGTGAGTGCAGTCATCACATGACAATTCTTAACCTTAGTATAGACTCCACGTTTGAAAATTTTGAAAAATGAAATAATGGAAAGTCCATCAGAATCTTCATTAATCAATCAATAAGACAACTTTATCAAATCAACAAAGCAAAATAACAAAACCCGTAAATAGATAACAACTTAACAAAAAAAACAAAAGTACTGTAAAAATTGAAAATTCTTTACGCCGTCGATTCTCCTGGTTGTATTAATTTCGCGAAAAGCTCGTCGTTCAAGTGCATAGGAACCTAAAGCTTTTTTGTAAGCTTAATTTAAAAGTAAAAAGAAAACTAATTTTAAAGCAAACTTTTGCAATTTTCCGTTTTTCTTTTATTCCAGTGAGATCATCAATTACTGTTTCGAAGTCCAATGGGCGAAGTCGAGATTTGCGTCCTTTTGCATAAACCTAAATTGGTTGATTTTGACAAAAATTGGTGTCTATAAAATAAAATATCAAAAGTAAAAACAAGACTCACCACTCCTAATTCGTCTTCGGCTATCGACAGAACATACGCTCGTTTTTGGAAAGAATAGTCGACGATTCGGGCCAGAATGATGTCACAGGGTTGCACACAATCGAGAATTTCAATCTAAATATATAATTTATTTGCAGCAAACGGATACAATAAAAATTATCTATAGCTTGGGTGTAAAGTAAAAAATATCTTGTATCAATAAAATAAAAAATAGCACCCACATCACTTAAGAACAACGAGCTTCGCATGTTCTTTTTCGGTAGAATGTAGTCGAAGTCTTTGGAAATTTTGCGGTCCTCGATCGAAAGTAGATGGCAGCCGGCCCATTGTTGCCCAACATCTTTTACACTAAAATCAGGAATAGATATCTATATTAAATTATTCAAAAACACATTTTAAAACTAAAAAATTACATTGCCGTGACGATGGTTCCTTCTTCGGGCATTACTGTGTCGACCACTTTCTCCCCGATTTGAACATCTACATAGTGTATCGTCTTCTCTCCCTAAAATACAAATAGATTTTTCAAATTTTAAAGCATAAACCTCCAACTGCATCACCTAAATCATATTTTTGAGAAGCACTTGAATAATACCTGTTTATGTGGATGAATGTGTACATAGCCGATGGTCGAGGCACGAACAAGTCCTTGCATCTGATAGCATCCTTTGCCGGGCACGTAGGTTTTCTTTTCCTCTGCGTCGTAGATCACCTCCCCAGGAATCACGAATTTTCCCTCGTCGTCCATCCTCTAAAATTTATACTTTAAAAAGAAAAACGTATATAGGACCCGTAATAAATATCAAAATTATCATAAAATATGCTGAAGTACAATATCACAACGAAACATACAAGTTCAAACAAACGCGGAATGCCTGGTAACTAGAGAATCGACTTTGGACGCAAAAAGTTCACTTTCAATCGGCGAGCTTGGCTCACATAGCGGATTCTTTATCACCGTTTCGACGTAAATCTTGTAAATCTCTTGTAGCAATTCTTGGCCTCCAAATGCATCGGGATTTGTGTTGATCGCAAAATGAAGACCGGTCGCCGTTTCCAAATACGAGCATTTGTATGTGGACGTCTTGAAATAGTTGATCGTTTGTTGTCCATCGCGTGTCGAGAGTCGTTCCGCGAATTTTCTCATGGATAACAACATTCCGAAAAATAGTTTCCCTTCCTCTGTTCGACTGATTCCCGATTGTTTCTCTCGTCGCCACTCGCGGTAGTATATTAAGCCACCCTCGCGATTGAATATGTAGAGATTGTAGATTGGCATTGGTGGATCCTGAAAGTAAAAAGATTAGAGCGGCAGAAAGATTTGCAAAAAATAAAACGGCGGTGTTAAAAACACTTTCTTTATACTGCGACAACACTTTAAACTATTGAATATCTCAATGTTTGTAGTTGCGACCACTTAAAGTGTGGCCTTTCTACCGTACCCTTTACGTTTCGGCGTAAGTCCAAATTTTTACAAAGAAGTGGCATTTTTCGATTTTTCATTCGTTTTGCGGAATTTATTTGCGTTATTCTCAGTTGCTTTACTTTTCTGCGTCTGTTTTTTTGCTGACAAGTTAATTTTTTTATTTTTTTCAGGTAAGAAATCTTTCTTGAACGACCTCTACACGATGGCCAAGTCAAAGAATCACACCAATCACAACCAGAGTGAGTTTGTTTGCTAATTTTAAACGGAATCACTTCTAAAGTTGGGGTTTTGTGCTCACTTTGTTATCATTTATTGGTTTAAGCTTCACTAACTTGGAAATAGTACTATGGGTTTGCGATTGAAATGTTCTCTCCCGAGGGCAGCATCACTTTAGACTTAGGCATTGTGTTTTGTACACGGTGATCCGTTTCAAACATTGATTTAATGACGCTAGGTAGGTAATTGATAGAACGGTTGCGAATGAATCTTTATGAAGCCTAGGGGCATAGAGCCTCGCCGTTTTAACCTCTAGAAACTCGATTTACACTCGGGTAGAATTAAACACGTTCAAAAACAATCGTGCTTTGTGCTCGTATAAGGTGTAACGTAGGGGTCTGTTCTGGTATAATGTTATTTCTGTAGATAAGAAGGCTCACCGCAACGGAATCAAGAGGCCAAAGAAGCAAAGATACATGTCGATGAAGGGAGTCGACCCCAAATTCCTCAAGAATCTTCGGTTTGTGATTTGATTTTTAGTTACATTTAATGACGTAGACTATTTATAAAAAGCTGAGTCTTATGTTATTTTTCTCTTTGAATCACTTTTTATTATTCAGATTTGCCAAGCGTCACAACAAGAACCACCACGCCAAGAGCGAGTCTCAAGCCTAAAGCCTTACTGTTGATTTTGAATAAATTGTTCTTATTTATTGAAAGGAAATGCGTCCAACTGTTGTCCTCAAATAAAATTTTTATTATCAATAAGCAAACCAGTGTCAATGTTCAAATGCATTTTAAGATGTTCGCCCGGGCATGTTGCGTTCCCATTTGTTCACGGACGTTCTGTAGGCCAGCCATTGCTCGAGCACTGCGGCTCTCTTCCGATTCATCTAGTTCTCTCAAGGCGTTATCTTCATTGTCAGGCGCGGAAATCGGCCCTTCGATATTGTTGACTCGGAAGGATCTTCCACCTGGATCGACAAAGACGGCGCACGAAATGATAGCAAGTGGAGTTTTCTACGGCGAAACTTCTATCATTGGCTTCTTCAGTAGCAGGAGCAGCTATGGTGCCTATTCTATCATCGTATTTATGGGAAGCGGCTCAAGAACGACCAGCTACTATGGCCTTTGCTATTGTCGCAAACGGATTTCTAGTTCTTCTTTCTTTCACTCCTTTTCTGCTACATATGCTGGCGAAACGTTTTCCAATTGATGTCCGATACAATAAAGCCAAGAATATTGTCACGACCATCCACTACGACTTTATACTGAGGAAACGGGCGTTGCAATTTTCTCCGAATGAAGTCGTCGACGCGGCTCTCGCTCCAGAGCTGAAGAAAGTTTGGATACCATTGGCTACATGCTTTGTGAAAGGACGTCCTTTGTTATTATCGCTGGATGAGAGACAATACTCGGATATTGCCGCTTTCCGCGAAATTACGAAAAATATCAATATTCCGCTCAATCATGATTGATTTGGTGCATTTCTAGTCTTAATTATTAATTTTTGTTACCTGTCTTTTTGTTGGTGTTGCTCTATGCGTCTTTCATAAAGCTTTAGTTCTAATTCAGATGGCGACGACCAAACGAGAGGCCGCGATAATGCGGAAACTGCAATTCGACGATGGTGGCAACGAGGATCGAAGATTTACAAGGATGTTGGCTGCCTTCAAAACAACCCAAGTCGAGGAGGGAGCGGTTTCTACACAAGCCACAGCTATTTTGAAAGAGGTATTCGTTTAATATTGGTTCTTGTAATACATTACCTTTTTTAGTTGGATACCCTCGAAATCTTCATTCAGAAACAAGCGCTGATCGCGGATTTGTGCGTGAAAGAGCAAAAAGAATACGAAGAGCAGTGCCAAGCTATAGAGGATCAAGTAAATTTTTTCAAGACTTATGTTTTTGATTTTTAGTCAAATATACATATAAACTTTAAAAATCTATTTTCAGATTGCGGAAACTCGTCAAAAGATGAAAGAAGCAGAAGTTGCACTGGCCGAAGCTCGAATAGTCCGCAAGAACAAACAAGAATACGACGCACTTGGAAAGAAAGTCGAAGAATTTCCGAGCCGTCCCGAAACAACACGGTTTGAATTTGATAAAATTCCGTGAGTTAGCTGGTTTTAGAAAACTCGAAGAGGTAAATGATGAATTGGAACGCCTTCAACAGCGACAACAATTGCTCGAGGATAAGGTATACATAGTCATCAGATTATCTAGCTTTATAGTTTAAGTCAAAGGATCTATTAATGTTATTATTTAGTTGAGTGAAAGACGACAACGCCTTTATGAGTTGGAACAAATTATTAGCAATGTGCACCAATATTTACGGGGTTAGTTGGCTTTCTTAATATTTATGGATCTTGCGGTTCTGTTTCTTTCTGTTCAATGTGGATTAACTTAGATTCTTCATTCATTTTCGAATATTTTAGAAGATGACGACCAGCTCTTTGATGTTTCCGGTGACTCAGAGGAGGACTCGAAAGTGAAAGATGATCGCGAAGAAAATACACCCATGGAGGACTGATTGTGTGAATGAATGAATTACGGTAGTTTTTTACATGTTCGGTATTATTTGATCTCTAATTTTTAAAGTTCATTTATAGATATGGTATTATACTTTCGTCGATTTTAATTTCACGTTTTACGGGTCTTTTGTGTAATTCAAATGTTTATAAATATGTTAAACGGCAATTTAAAATTCCTTCAAATGTACATCGTATGCTATCTGGCATCTCATTTGACATTGATTCAAAGCCACCATTCTTCCGAGATAAGAATTGTCCATTAGGGCCATATTCTGAAAGTGAAATATTTTGATATATTGCTTTGAACTATAACAGATTTTAGGCTTCATAAACAGTTGCCGTAGTAAAAGTATTGTATTATCGGGAGTTAGGATTGTGTAAACCAACCCTCAAATAGTTTTTGAGGGCCAAAATGCTGTGAACTCGAACCGATCTCTGTTCATCGGTCCAACCCGAATATTCTTCTTTCATATATTCGACCAAGATCTGAAAATTTACAAACTTTATATCCATGGGAAATATTTGTACCTGTTCATGCTTTTGTCTTGCCCTTCGTACGACTTCCATGCCGGAATCGGTGAGACGCATTGCTGCAATTTTGGGATGATTACTGTAACAGTAACATTGAAGATACCGTAAAGGTCGGATTTCTTCTCGTACTATGGTAATTAAACTGATTGTGTGTATTCTTCAAGAGGTTCACGCTTTCAGCGTAACACTTTGTTCTTGGCATACCGTAGTAAGAAAGAAATTTCCATTTTTACAGTATCTTTAGGATAAATCTTTGACTTTGTAGTCTAAGACTTACAACAAGAATACAGCGTGATCGTCTTCAAAAGAATGTACTCTTCCGGTTTTATATCAAGCCTCCGGAAATTCGGCAATAACCATATCGTGACCATATTTTGCTAACGCATCAAGAAAGTTTTCGAATCTAAAGTTATAATATTTTACTTTTGCAAAGATTTCTCGCTTACTCTGTCCCGGCGCCTTGACCTTTAATTGAATAGTGATATCCGAGAGAATAAGCAATACCAGAGCTGCCTGTTCGATAAGTGTGATAAAACATCATCAACAGTTGAACGTGAGATAAACCAGCACTGATCAGCATTAGCTGGAATTTAAAAGAAAAAGTAAACAAACTTGCTTTTCAAAACTTTGAAGCGATACTGTAAATATAAATTAAGGTATGACATGACTGAAGATCTTATTTCATCATTTTAGTTCTTTAGTTCTAAAGCTTTCTTTCTTCAAACTTTATCTCGTTGATCCAATAAATGAACATCTCCTAATGATGAAAGCCAATCAATATAATGAACAGTTTGTCGACAATAGATATATCGAAAAGCAGTGTTAATATCTGGAGCTGTTTGTAGAGAATCCCAAGTCATCTGGAAATTGATGGAATGAGTGCGCCAGATAGGGTATGTTTAGCCGCTCAAATCTCACCGGGATTCGTTGACATAAAAGGAGTGGGTCGATCAAAGCATTTCTCAACGTTACATCAAGATTGATAAAGTTTAAGCCGAGATCCGAATGAAGAGCATCTTGGGAAGAGCTTAAAGGAGGGCTTGAGGTGGAGGGACTCGCTTGTAAGAGAGGGATTGTTGGCGAAGTTGTCTGGAAGGGAAAGACTGAGATAACTGAAACAAAAGCTTCAAATAGCTGGCTACAGTATTCTAAGGCTTATAGTTTGATAATTGGAAAGTTCAGCTCACTATTAGACACCCTAAATTCCTCCTAACCAACCACCGAACTTGTTGCGGTTTGAGGCCGGGGATTTGCTTCCAATTGTATCCGTGTCTCCAACTCGTTCAATATCGGATTCTCTCTTGGCGTAATCCACGACGATTGAGCAAATGAGGTGCTAAAAAATTTGAAATGACAAAGAGATCTTTGATCTCAAACGTTTCCAAAGCCAGAAGCGCACTCGCATACGATTTTGCACTGCCCAAATTCTTCTTCAAACATTCAACAAAGTTTAAACCGAGTGCATAGCTAGTTCCGAGAAGTTCCTGAATAACTGATGTATTAAAAGATGAATTTCCAGCTTTACCGTAGTCCTTGTTAAATCCAAATGTAGTTTCGGGGTTTCGAGTGAGTTTAAACTGGCTGAAAATACGGGAAGATCATGAAAGAGTAGACTAGATGTTGATGGAAGATTGAGAGATGTGAAAGAGATTGATTGCGAGTTTTGGAGCATTTGATTCAGAGTGAACAGGGCTGAGCCAGCGGGGATTGGTTGAGCTGGAAAGGCTTTAAGAACTAGAAGTCAGCGGTAGGCTTGTCTTTGGTCAGAAACTAGATTTGGGCCAAAAACCTGATCAAAGTCTGGTCAAAGTCTGGTAAAAAGCTGGTCAAAGCCTAGCCAAAATCTGACCTGGATCACTTACCCAAAGCATTCGTCACAGAAACACTTTGTTGGATTGTTGGAAGCTCGGGGAGATCTTCTGGAGTTGGACAGGATGAAAGGGGTTGAGGCGAGCAGAGCTGAGAGATTTGGTCATTGCAATGAAAGCAATTTGAAAGTTCACCTCTTCTTTAATCGTGATTAGCTCGGGGATTCGTGCCGGGGGTGAGTCGTCGATTTTGTGATTTTCGTCATTGGCTCAAGATCGGTGCCGTTTTGTTGGAGCCGGAGTTTCTAAAAAGATTTACTATTCTTTCGTCTTTCGTCTTTCTTCTTTTCATTCCAGAAAATCTAGATTAGAATTTACAGAGCTAATTAGGTTAAACAAGTCTTTCGAAGTCTTTCGAAGACAAACCCCATTCCAAGAGTCGCTTTTCTTTGCTCACCTTTGCCCGTTTCACATTCCCAACACTTGCTGGGTCCATTTGTGGCGGCGAGACAACGCGAGAAGCGACAAGCTCGACAATTCTTTGCCCATTTTTCTATCAATTTCTTTAATCAATTGTTTATGCTTATTTACCGCTAACAATGACGCAATTCCGATCTTTCTGACAAATGTAATTCTCACTGTTGACGACGGCGCGAAGGAAAAGATTCGACACGAGCTGCAAAAAGGAATTTGGATTAGAGTTTCACTTCTAGAATTGAATTTCTTTACTTTATGACTTTTGTGGTACTTATTTTTCTTTCTTGTTCTTTATTCTAAAAGTTTTCCCTAGCGTTAGCGTTAGAATAAGCGTTTTCTGGGTGCATATGAATTATTAATGTTTGAGTTTTCTGAAATTCTTGCAAGAACTAGATTCTAGTGTTGTTCTTCTCGTTTTTCACTTTGATCTCTGAAAAGTTGAACTCTATTTTGAGAAGATTTCGATAAAATCATCTTTATGTACCCTTTATGTACATCTTTATGTACCCTTTATGTACCCTTTATGTACACCTTTATGTACATCTTTATGTACACCTTTATGTACATCTTTATGTACATCTTTATGTACCCTTTATGTACATCTTTATGTACATCTTTATGTATTGACTTAGATTGCAAAAGAAATCGACTAGATTATGAAAAAAGTGTGGATTTAATGAAATTTCGTTGAATAATGAGATTATTTGTAAACTGTAATCTTTTTTTTAGAATGCTGATGTCATTCTTGACTTTGCTAAAGTCACAAAGAACACTCAAGCCTCAAATAGTGAAGGAATTTGTTTTCGAAAGAGTTTCTAGCTGTCAACTAACCCGCAAACTTGTCCTCCATAACATTTGGTGACTCCACGAGAATCCCCACAAACCCCGCACGGTTGAGGCATTCTGAAGATGGGAAATGATGGCTAATCATTGGAAATGTAAAGACACGAAAGAGATAACACCCTCCAGAGCGAGCGGAACAAGTACGTTGTGGTGTAATGGTTAGCACCGTTGTCGGGTAAGCGGGAGGTCACGGGTTCGAGTCCCGGAGTGCATGAGTTTTTGATCTGCCGAACAATGGCAAGTTTTAAACCCGGGTGACATCAAAAATAATGAAAGGCTTCAAGAAAGAAAGATAGATCTTGTGAGATGGAAAAAAGTGAGTAATCTTTGGGAAAAATGTTGAGATTGAGTGCTACAAGTGCTCAGGGGGATTTGAGAAGGATTTTCCTGGAATTAATCTATTAAACTCTGTGTTGGTGTTTGAATTGAGCTTTTTTGTATGGTATCAAGTAAAATCTCGTTCAAAACATAGCCACGGCGTTTCTAACAAACTAATGGCAGTCTTTGCCTTTAAAATTGACTAAATAGAATAGTCTAAGGCGTTAGAAATCAAGTGAATTTTTAGAGTTTATACGACATTTGACATTCAGCTCGCTTTAAAATCTAACTTTAAACTCAAAAATCTTAGCGTTAAGTTGCCAGATTGAAATAACTTTGGCATCATTAGATTTGTCATATCTTCCTCTATCAATTGATATAAAAATGATTTCAATCAAGGCAACGAGAGAGAAATAGTGAGCAATAATAGTTGCAATAGCTTTGGATACATCTTTCTGTTCTTCATTAACTAGCTAACAAGTCTACCCAAAGCTCTCTTCAAGAATGAGATGAATGAAGCGAATAACTGAATAGAGGAAGTCTGCAGGAAATTTGTGACTCTTTTTCCAAGCTAATTGAAAGGAAATCCTAGCAAATGATCTCATACGAGCGTTGAAAAGATGAGCTTTAGCCTTGAAGGCTAGAAGGCTAGAAGGGTAAGGCTAGAAGTGGTAGTCGATTGGTCAAATCGACCAAAACAAATCCCTTTTGGCGCTGAGTTGCTTACATTGCAGCACAAAGTACACCTCAATTAGGAATGTTCATTGCAAAAGAATAAAGCAGAAAATTTGCAAATCGAAAAATCCAATGAAGTCAACACGTCTGTTTTCAGTTTCAATATTTGGACAAAAAAAAATGGATGGACAATAACTCTCTGGTCTTTTCAAAATCTCACTTCAAAAGCGCTTTTGTGTTTTTCGTTTCCCGGGTGACAGGAAAATGGGGAAAGAGGAGGTGAAATAATCACTTCACTTCCAGAAAAGGAAACCAATGCATGTGTTTGGATTTGAGATCTTTTATACTTCTTGTTCTTTAGTTCATTGAAAAAGGGATTTGTGAAAATGAGGGAAATCTTTCCAAGAATCGACTCTCTCTTGTCTTTTTTTGTCTTTTTTTTTTTCGTTGATCGTCTATGGATCTCTTTTCTGATGATCCTGATGACCAAAATAGGAATTGAGAAAACAGACAGAGTAAGCCGCTTCGTTTCTCGAGATTGCAAAAAGTTTGATGCGGGGATTTTTCTTGTGATTCATTTTTATGATGCCATAAACACAACTAAATTTGAGCAAATTGGACTTGATCTAATACAATAAACGTGCTCAGTCGATTCACCGACCCTGAAAACCCCCCAGGTACAAGTTTACAGCTAAATATCTTCTTTTTTGTGTCATCTACAAACAAAAGGGAAATCCCTGTAAGCCTGGCAAGGTGTACTTTGTGTAGCCGCTGTAATCGCTCGCGATCTGGCACATGACCCTAATAGATACCCGTTCCCTTTCTGAATCCTTCAAGACTGCTAACTTTTTTTGCTCCGTAGACTCCATAGATGGAAAGCCGCTGCTTTTTGAGATTCGACATCTGAATCATCAGTTATGTTGTCAAAAAGGAAAAACCAATGGCTATTCACAGTCCAAACCAATGCCTATTCACAGTCCAAACCAATCCCAAACCTAACTCCCAATCCATAGAAAGAAAATAATGCCCTCTCGCTGATGGAATCGACTTTGGTGCACTATGAGTTAGCTAATCCAGGAGAAAACATTGATCTTGATTTCTATTCAAAACAATTGACTAGAGTTAACGAAGCTTTAAAGAAATTGGGGCTTAATCCATCAGAGATTCGATTTTTGCACGAAACCCCACACTGCAAGCCATTGATAAAAATTAACGAGTTGGACTGGAAGTTGCTTTCTCATGCGTTTTACTGACTTAGGCCCGTTAGATTACTTTTTATTTCAGTTCCTTAAGCAGTTTATGATGGGAGAAAAGTTTGATGATCATGCTCAAGTCAAAAAAAAAGTCAAAAAAGCGATCGTCACTTAAACGGCATCTTTGTATGGCCGAAAGAAATTGATTTCAAGCTCCGATCGGGTCAGTGTTGCAGCGACTTTGATTCAGACAATGCAGGGGTTACGGTAAAGCAAACTAAACTGGTGACTCAATTTGCAAATACAGTCGAAAATCTTCTCTAACGAAATCGAAAGAATCGAAAATCTCTATATAACAATTCTAAAACGCGCCTCAAATTTTCTGCGTAGCTGGGGCAGCTGTAATGTGCGGGCAACTGTAATGTGCGGGCAACGATTGTACCTAATTGAGCACCTTTAGAATTTCCAAAATCGTTGTAGAAGGTCGTTATAGAGAATTTCGACTGTAATGAGCTCTCAAAATGAGCTCAAAATTTCTAGGTGTTGATTAGAGAATAAAATTGACTCTTCAAAGACGTCTTCAAAGAAATCGAGACTGATTCGCGGTAATTGAAGGGTAATTGAAGGTCTATCCCCCTTGGGATCACCGAATACGTAGTGTTCTTTGAGTGGCGGAGATTTAAATAAAAATTCAATTAAAGGATTTTTAAGTCTAACTTTTTCTACGCAAAACAAAGAGCTAAATAACGAAAATATTACTGAGCATCGGGTAAAAGCCGAGTCAGCGGCAGTTTAACTAACTAGAAACAGAGTTTAACTAACTAGAAACAAAGTTTAACTAACTAGAATAAGAGTTTAACTAACTAGAAATAGAGTTTAACTAACTAGAAACAGAGTTAAACTAACTAGAAACAGAGTTTAACTAACTATAACAAAGATCTTAATGTCTAGCTATAGTTGAACTAAGTCTGAGCATTTTAGCATACAATCTGAGCATACAATGTAAAGATTGATCTCAATAGCTTCCAAAGCTAAATGCAGCTGCCTTGGGTTATTAAAAGTAGAAAAAAAAAAAAAACTTGGATTAAAAAACAGAAAGATGATTTAAAAGGTTAAAAATTTGAAAGCAATTTTCTTCTCGTGTACTTGTTGTTCTTTGGTTTAAAAAAAGATTACAAATGAGAGTTTAGAAGGGAAAAAGAAAAGGGATTAAGTTTTAAAAGTGAAATTGTATAGATTTTCAAGAATTAGGATGTGTTTTTGCCTGAATAATACGTAAAAGCTTTCAATTTTCTGATTA